TGCTCGCTGTCATGCGTATGATATGCGACGCGAGGTTTGATCGCCATTAAGTTGCAGATTGTCGGTGATACGTGAATAGAGAAATTCAGTACCATTGAAAGAAATCAATGGGAGAACCACGACTCTACGAAAAGAATCTGCGCTCTCCTTGTACTACGCGTAGCAAAATAACGCCGGCACGTGCCCGAACCCGCAATTACTGCATGGTTACATGCACGATATAAGTATTGATTGATATGTGGGGTTTAACGTCCCAAAACCACTCTATGATTATGAGAGACGCCGTAGTGGAGGGCTCCGGAAATTTAGACCACCTGGGGTTCTTTAACGTGCACCCAAATCTGAGCACACGGGCCTACAACATTTCCGCCTCCATCGGAAATGCAGCCGCCGCAGCCGGGATCACGATATAAGTAGCAAAGCCATCAATATGTTTAGCGTTTTTAGTGCGCCACGCCAATCGGTATGCTAGTATAGAAGACAACCACCTGCAACAAGTATTTGCCCTCAGACCGACTTTAACATGTCGTAATATCTTCTCATGAATCCACGCGTAATCAGCTCTAATGCACGGTACCTCTGACGCTTCACCAGATGTATTCACAGTATGCGCTCGCTGGCGAGTGCATCTGCGCGCTCACGAGCAGACAAAGCGGCGGCATATGCATGAAAGGGTCACTGCACGTCGATATGCACCATTAGGGGACTACCGCGGGAGCGGACTAGTCTTATGGCTGCGTGCACCGTGATGGGCACGCGGCGATGCACGTAAGTCGCTGTGTTCGCTCAAAATAAACCGCTCCCTCCGGCGGCACGCAGCGGCGGTGCATGTGGCCGAGAAACCTTATGGCGGGGCCTCTTTTTATAAACCTGGTTACTGCGCTTCATGCGAAGTTAGGCGACAAGACGCTCTTCTTTGGTGCGTTGAACTTAAACATGCCACACGAGGCTATACGAGCTCATACTCGTGTAGCTTAATTTCATCCGTAAATACGGCCTCTTTATTGTCACTGTATCCACTAACGAATCTTTTTTTTTCCTTTCTTGAAGTAACAAGTCCGCGACCACCCTCGCATGAAACTGAGTTGAACAAGGCATTTTTTTTTTATGTATCGAAAACTACAACAAAACTTGTTCCTAGGCGAGTTGGTGCACGTGTATGCCGTGCAACGAATATTTCAGCGCAAAAATTGAAAATGATGGAACTCATACAGGAGAAGAATCCGTGCGCACAGTGTTTTCTTCTTCTCTTTTTCTGAGTTGTTTCGTTTTCCACTTTTTTGCTAAAAAATAATGTTGCACGTCTTATCAAAAACTGCCCCACGCGTACATAAAGCGGAGAGTCGTCATTGACAAATTGATTTTCAGCAAATGGCAATTGTGTTGATATCCGTATACGAGAAAGTTACGTTTCGAATTACAGCTCTGTAAACTCAATAACGAGCTAAACAAAGCAGGTGAGATAACTGATTATGATGTAGTCGCTTGCCGCACAGAGAAAAATCATCAACTCTTAGGTTTCGACACAGCCTGCGATTGCAACTGCACGTGTGCATTAAACACAGGGTCGCCTAACCTCGAGCGATTCACAAGAAGGTAAACAGCAGTGACAGCATAGCTCCACTTGCAGCTCGTCATAGTTACGACTTTTTTAAACGGCTGTCTACCTCGAAAGAGTCATTACTTTCAATCAACGATTGGGGTCGTTACGAGTGTCGGCTGCCGAGTGAAGCTAAACTGCCGGATGCAATTATAGAACAGTGCATCGTGCTCATCTGTCCCTCCTTGGGCAACTAAATTAAGTACAACAGACCCTTGAAGTACGCTTTGTACTAAATTAACGACATACCCCTTGCATCACGAATGAAAACAAGCCGCAAATCTAGGTGGAGCCATGCACGTGCGGGAGGATTCGTTACGCGCAAATGCTGACTCACTCGACAGAACCTCGCACGTCTTACCGACACTCATAATCATTATGAAAGGAAAATACAAAACGAAAGTACTAAAGGACGGTGCTACACATGTTGATGCACAGTCGTGCTCGCTACACACTAGAAAAAGTAAGCATTGGAACGGAACGCATCACCAGTGGTGCAAGCCCACTGAAGTGGCGTGACCTGAGATGTTGAAAGTGGGTCCGCTGGGCCACTATTTGCCGCGACGTGCGCCTGCCTCTTTGGTGGACAGCTGTGAAACCAGACTCTCACTGTTAGAACCCTGGATGAAGAAAGTCTTATACTTTTGTTCCGTTTACCATTCTCACCGAGACTATTGAAACCACTGTGGTTAACAATCTACGGGGGCTCGTAAAAGGCACAACATACAAAACCTCCTGTCGACGACAGCGAAGCGTCCTGTCCAATGGGAACTGTCCACGATTGCACGAACAGATGGTTCTCCCGTATCTGCACATGCCTCAAATGGTTAAATTATTCGAACTTTGTTTGTTTTGAGCGAATGCGTTAAACAATTACAGCATATTCACGGAGTGAATGATGATGAGTGGGGCGAAGCGTCCGTCCGTCTGTCCGTCCGTCCGTCCGTCTGCCTGTCTGTCTGTCTGTCTGTCTGTCCGTCCGTCCGTCCGTTCGTCCGTCCGTCCGTCCCTCTGTCTGTCTGTCTGTCTTTCTGTCTGTCTGTCCCTCTGTCTGTCTGTCTGTCTGTCTGTCTGTCTGTCTGTCTGTCCGTCCGTCCGTCCGTCCGTCCGTCCGTCCGTCCGTCCGTCCGTCCGTCCCGGTTACGCCTGACGCAGGACAAAGTTAGACTACGAGGAGCTTCGCCCCTAAAAATCAAGTCGATCAAACAGACACCATCAACCTTAGAAGCAAAGCAAATTCGCTCGTGAGGCAGAACTATCCTAACCTGGGCGCGATAGAAATCACTTACTGAAAGAACCGAGCTAGGCTTTGTCAGGATCACAGAGATGCCGGGAGCACGTATATTTCAAGCAACCTCTTCTGCCGACCAAGTGCGCTGGTCAGCCAAGACGTTGGCCCTTAGCACCGCGGGCCAAGTCCAGCTGCACGGGGCAGACGCTGTTTATCTTGGATGTCTAGCCACATGCAGGCCATGAAACATATGATCGCCATGGCGCTCCTAAAATAAACCTCCACGCTGCTTGCTCCGTTCGTTAAGAAGCTAGCGTTGGGAAACATAAAAAAAACATCGGGGCAATACTAAAAATGCTGCAGCACAAGAGATAGAGTAACAAGGTAAAAAAAAAAAGGCAGGAGGGAAAAAAAAGACTTTTTTTGCGTCCGAAAATTTCTTTCCTGTAACTCCAAAAAAAAAATTGAGGACAGGAATGCACCCACAAAAGCACACATGGAGAAAGCTGCGTTTTCTTTCTTTTTTTTTTTAAGAAAGCACAAACAAAACTTTCTGGTCACGTACCAACAAGTGTTTTCCTTGGGTGGCTGTCCTGTTGCGTAATTTATGGGATAGTTTTGACTTCTATACGGCGTGATGCTGCGTTCGCCACTATCGGTGGAGCTTCGCGGAGGTGCCAACTAGTTGTATGCGCCAATAAGTACTTAACGGCTGCATCGCCGATCCACTAGCTCTTAGCTCGCGCGCTAAGCGGCTGGGTAACCATGCTGGTGCCCTGATATACGTATGTGCTTTAATCGGGAGCAGATAAGGAACAAGGTATGCTGTTCCACGTCAGATTCTCTGCATGTTGTTTTGTTATGTCGTCCCTGTTCTAATGTGCAAATTCATTTAGTACTATTCTCTCTGGGTCGCAGGGATCGTGATATCATTGCTTTATTGCATTTACTATAGTTACATTAGAGTTTATTCGCGTTTCTATATAGTAAGTTCTTAGGTTGTACAAATCTCACATATTTACTCAACAAGCTATGAAAGAGGGAGACTAGACTTGCGCTGAATGCACTAAAGGAAAAGTATCTTGACGTCAATATTTAAGGTGTGTTATGGAAGTAGGATGCGCCATACGCTATAAATACATTCAACTTTTAAATTGATGTACTGTTGACCGAAATCTAGTCTAGGATCAGTTCGTACTAACAGCACTTTCACATGGAAGTCTATAAAATGAGGCTATGTGAACAAGCGGCAAATCGATGCACATGAAGATGCATGCGGACTGAACGAGGCGCTTGTGAGATGTGCTTCGTCTGTATGCACTTTCACCTCTCATCAAAAGACGTTAAGAGACGCTGTGCAATGAGCTCTTGTTTCCCTAAGCCTACAATTGCCAGCAGCAACTATACACAATCTAATGGTCACTTCTGCATGTAATCGCATGTAGACAAAACGCGCACTGTGGTGGCGTTCTGTTGGCTATGTTAATCTACCAGATGAAAGTGCTGTTCGCGGTGGTGACTTCTTGCGGCTGCCGCAGTACCATAGAGACAGAACGCAAACGAATTCATGTGCATTCATTTAGGCGCGTATAAAGCACCCCACGTAGTGAGTAATAATCGAAGCATTCACTATTGTAATATTGCAGCGCCCCTGTGTGTTCCCCCAGTAAATTATTGGGAAAGTAAATCAACCGTTATTTGGTGGCCGCTCCTGTCAGTGCTCCAAAAAGGTTGCCATTCGCGGTCGAAATATCTCTGTGGTTCCAGGCAAACACAGAAATCGCCTCTAGGGTTAAATAGCGAGCACATAAAAGTTGCCGAACTATAGCTCAATAGGACTCAGTCACACTTTTAGTATACAGCGTATCAAAGTATACAGCGTATCAAAGATATCATGCGGTATATGGCTGGACGCCAAGCTAATGTGCCTTCGTATATCAATACTGAGATTCACCTCCTCCACCTCACCAATGCTATTTGATCTTTGCATTCACTGTAGAGCTTAGCTTGTGAGGCATGCTCCATGAAGCAAGATACAGATTTACTATTTTCTCGATCCCTTCCTTGTCCTGACAGAGGCATCCCACCATCAACTATAGGGCAATACAGGTTTTCTGCGTACACGTCAGCCGGGCCGCACTGACGGTCACAACCTTGCCTTTCACGCAGCAACCATGTCTGGTCTTGGCAGGCGCCACCTGAACGACCCAAACTCGGATGCCTACAAGGCCCACATGGCAGCTGTCCTGGAGCGCATGCGCAAGGAGTACGAGCGCAAGCAGCGCGAAGAGGCAGCGCGCCGAAAGAAATACCGAGGTAATTACGAATGTCCGAATGGCGAACGCCTTCGGTAGGTCATCCTTGTTCGTCGCAAAAGTGTGTTGAATAAAACCCAGCCATACATGGTATGGCTCGTCTCGAGCAGCACCGAAGCCGGTTACACGTGGCAAAAAAGATTCGTGCCACTACAATACCAGCAGCTTCACGTTGTACAGCGACGCTTCGTTTGGTTTGTTCGCACTTCATATCGCTGCGCGCTCGCACTTTTCTGGAGAGAACGAAACGAGTAGTCCATTACCGCTATGTCGCAGGATACACTCCTCCCCGTATGCACAAACACTCCTCGACTCGACCTTCACCCTTCACTTGACAGAGTTAAGCAATGCGCCGCCGCTCGGCTGAAAATGGCGCGGCGCTACTCAGGAATCGCAGCATATTATCGCTGATATGCAGTGACTTGTCGTGACTGGAGACGGCGCTCCCATCGGCATTTCAAGTGAAGGTGGAGCGTTGAGTCAAGGGACGTTCTTGAATACGGGGGTCAGACGTGCTGCTCGCACGCGTAGCGCAAAAACATGTTTTAGCGGATGCTTACGAATTTTAATCAGTATTAAAAAAATATTCTGTTCAATTTTCCGCCTGTATCTATTGGTGCTTTTGACGTTCGAAAGCGCTTTGTTTCGACAAAGAACAGGAAAAATTTTTGGAACGAGAATCAGCTTGTTGCTGTTATCAGTGCGCTCGCACATGAGTACCCTGTATACTTATCTACACTATGTTTAAGATAATAAATCCCTTCCCGGACCTCGTAGGACGCAGCTGCACATAGGGGCTTTTTTTTTACCTGGACTGCCACAAAATTATCGTTTAGCTGGTGGTTATCTGTATCGAAACATGCGATATTTGCTGTAATAATTTTTCAGATGTTACCGGAGTTCCGATAATAATTTACAGCTATCCGCATTCGCTTTCATAGTTTGTGCTGAGATAACATTTTAACACACTAACAATTATGGTTTTATGTCTCGCCACAACACAGGGTGATCCACAATGAGCTGCATTAACATCGCCTCACAGCCCGGTAGACTTACTCAATGTAATAAAATGCACGACCTAAGTACATATGTGCATAGACATCTAATATATTGCCATGAACGTATGATAAAGAAAAAAATATCATGTGTTTAATCGTATATACTAGCCCGGAAAAGCACTGTCAGTATTTTTTAAGAATTGTAATACTTGTCAGAATAAATATTTCAAGGTTTAGCTCACAACATCTATTCCTGTTTTTCACTTCGCATATGTAATATCCCTTCTGGTTTTGCTGACAAAGGAGCAAAGGAGGACTCTCGCAAGTTGAGAAAAGGCACACAAATTAGAACATGTGACACAATTAAGTGTCACAAGCTTCTTACGTCTGAACGAGGTTAAATAGGCCAGCACGACCGGATGTCTGTGGCGTACCTCTGACATGCAGCAAGACACAACATATGCAGGAATGCGCCTCACGCTTAGCAACTTCGATAGCGAACGAGTGAGTTTTCCCTTAACTCGACACATTCGTTATCTCAGCGCTAAACGAGGGGGTCACGACCTACGCGCAGGCGATGCCATCAAGGTGGACGCTGTGGAGGTGTACGCCAAAGACAACGCCAAGCACCACCACACGGAAATGTTCGACAACCTGGAGCTGAGCGACCCTCCGCTAATCATACGACGCGGCCAGTCATTCTTTCTGGCCATCCGCTTCAAGCGTGAATACCAGCCCGGAACCGACGATGTTCAAATCGACTTCAGCATCGGTAAGAGCCCCCAAACACATTATTTAATTCTGAACAAGGCAGGCGTGTTTATTGTTGTGCTGAGATACAGATACACAGATACAACCTGAGAAGCCTGTGCGGTCAAAATTAACCCGGAGCCGCGCTATTTCGGCAAGCCGCATGATCATGTTACGGTTTCGGCTCGTTTAGCCTCAATTTTATTTTTACTCAGGAATGTTTCAAAATTTCTGTCTTCGTCAACCAACAAGACAATCTGGTTGACCGACTGAATATGTAAATAGAACACCTGACACGCGCATCCAGCAAAAACAAAGTTGATCATTCGTGGTGTATGCACGTACTATGAGAAAGAAAGAAAACGGTATCTATCGCTTCTTTTCATGAGTCCTCATTTGCCGCATGATATAAGATGATATACAAGTAAATTTTATTTCGGCGAGTCGCGCTTCCCACGGCACGACTTCTTCATTGAGTGCACTAGACAAATACCGAGACGATCACCTCGTTATCGCGACAATCACTGCGGGCATCCTGTATTAGAAATGTCAACATTCAGAATCTCGACATCGTAAAATATTCCGCACCCAGCAATGCTCAAGGGTGTTTTTCGCAGTGGCGATATCCTTACAGTAAAAGTTCAATCACCATTAGGTCAACAGTATACTGTGAGAGCAGTCATCAAACTATAACGTGGACCCTCAAATGTTTTATTACGCTGAGGCCTAAGGGCACTCTTTTATAACAAACAATTCCCTGTTTTTCTGTTTTTTTTTTACCCACGACTTACTCTGAATTAGGTGGAAAACAATTCATTAGTGACAGAGATGTCTGCAATATCTTGTCAGGTAGACATGTTCTGGAAAGCTCCGCCACTATCTATCTGTCAAGCTGCAGTCACTTCAGAACATTGTTATTAAATTTAAATTTACCTAATAATAGTAATAATAAATATTATCTGGGTTTTTACGCCCCAATACCACCACATGATTGTCAGGGATGCTCTAGGGGAAGGCTTAGAAAATTTTGATTATCTGGTGGTCTTTAACGTGCACTCGCACAGAACAGGGGCCTCTACCTTTTCGCCTCCACCGAAATGCCCCTGCCGAACTCGAACCCTCGACCTTCGGGTCAGCAGCCAAGCACCCTAACCACTGTGGTAGACAGTTTGTCTAAGTCGCAAGATGGCCCTGACATGGCATGGTTTCCAGCTAAAATTCCATCCCAAGCAAAATTTATAGCGTATGTCACGCGAATGTCACGCGAATGACTCGAATGTCACGCGAAGGGTGACTTTTCATTGAGTCCAGGAAAAAAAGACTGTTTCGGTATTTGATAGTAATGTGAGGGTCGACTTGTAGTAGCAAAAATCTGAAAAAAAAAAAAAAACTCGCGTTAAATTCTACAGTAAATACGATAATGAAGCATCAAATTTCGTTCCCTGCATTGTTATCAGGTTTCACACTTGCTAGATACACCGGATCTAACATAAACATGCAAGACCACTCAACACTGAGTGCTTGATTTCCCACTCCAAACGTGTGGAATTCCAGTGAACTTACCTTTACATCCATAACGAAGTCGAGATTAAGTGAAGGGCAACCGTAGCGAGTTGAGACGATGTCGTCTAAAAGCAAGTCGATCTCGTTGTGCATATAGAGTTTAACCATGGCGTCATATGTGATCGCAGTTCGAGGTGATGTCGTTTAGTGGTATCTATAGTAGCTAACCATGTTGCAATGAAGCTATACTGAACGCCCACTTGGCGCTGGAACGTGTTGTTGGTTTTGTCGAAGGTTGCCTCCTGATCGTATACGCTCTTGACAAATGGCTACAGGTCCCAACCCGGAGATCAGCAAGGGGACCTTCATGAGCCTGCGTGTGCCGGACACCAAGGGCGACTTCAGCCGGCCTCCGCAGAGCTGGGACGTGCGCCTGACGCATCACGACCGCGCCATCATGTCCATCGAGGTGTTCGTGCCGGCCAACGTGAGCGTGGGCCTGTGGCGGATGGCCGTGCTCAGCCGATCACGCGCCAACGCGATGGCCAGGGACAAGTATCGACATCCGTCCGACATCTACGTGCTATTTAACCCGTGGTGCCAAGGTATTTATTATTATTATTATTATTATTATTATTATTATTATTATTATTATTATTATTATTATTATTATTATTATTATTATTATTATTATTATTATTATTATTATTATTAAAATCTCTCGAGAACTCGTAGTAGAAGTGTATATTCATGTAGAAGCTTATGTAAAGTGAACTCTCGCTCGTCATTTGCTTCCTCCAGAAGACAATTGATGTTGCCAGCGTCGACGGAAAATGGGCAAATGCAGTGACGTAACTTTCCTCTTTTTCTTTCTAAACTGCACTCGTTCTTTCAGATGACGTGGTGTATATGGAAAACGAAGACTGGCGACGAGAGTACGTACTCAATGATGTTGGCAAGATTTACATGGGATCGTGGAAGCAACCAGAGGGCCGACAATGGATTTTTGGTCAGGTAGGCATGTGTGTGTATAAATTGAGTTTTAGAAGCAAAAATGGACGCTATAGTATTTGGCCCGAAGCCAGCCACTGGAGGCGCGGGCGCTGCAATCGCTGTGACATGTAGGGTTGGATCACGTGATCTCGCCTCGCTCTGACGAAAGAAAGTTGGCGGTTGGATGCTTTGTTTTTAGCCGTGACTTTGCGTTGTTTTCATTTTTGAATAGCGTTGTATTGGTCTGACGTGTGGTGCGCGGACTTCTGCAGACGACACAATGCGAAAAGTCGCAGGAAAAGTTACCGCGGCGGCGTGCTCGCTGCGTATGCAATGCCACCGTTACAGCTGCTGGCAGCGCCACTGTTACCTCTCTCTTTCTTTGTTGTGGTCCTTATTTCGAGCCCATGCATGGGGTTGAAATGAGCACAGGCCATGAATGTTCACATAAAAGCAGATCGTTTCAGTTTTCACACGGCAGCCTCATTCACAACGAAAAATGAATGTTCAAATGATCCGATTATGTAATTTTAAAATAGACGTAGAAGCGTACATGTGCGGGAAGTTGCCATTATTACATAAAAAAACATGCGCCATTGTCTGATTTTTCAGATAGTGAAGATAGCCTGCAAGTTCTTTTTCTTCCCTTTATTTACGCTATTTTCACCCTATTTCGGTCTAATTCGCGGCCAGTTGCTCCGGCGTGTTTGACCAGCACGTTTGACGAAACATTCATTCTTACTTCATACATGTGCCGGTCCAGTCTTTGCTAAAGCTTACTTCTCTCGTCAAGGTAACCTTCACCGCAGTCTGCACCACCACCATCTTCCTCCTCGGTAGTCCGTCCCCGTGTGTGTACCCGACCACACGGGTTTCCATCGGTCAATAGTGGCGTCGCCAGAAGCTAGAACCCTAAACCCGTGCCCCCCCCCCCTCTTCCCCCCAAAACAAACAATCCATGGTATCTGCGCACAAACTAATGTCCCCATCCGAGAAAAATTTCTGCCAAGGCCCCTGCCATCCGTGACTTAAGCTCACAGGTTTAATTCTTTGCTTATAGATTACCTCTGTAGAATGGGCCATAGCCACTGTCACTTCCTCTCAACGTTGTCTTGATCTACAGGCGAAAATGTGGTCACCTTTGGAAACTGATTCGTCTCCTAAGAGCTGCCTTGAAATATTACACAGCTTATGAATGGAGCTCTAAAAAGAAAGAAAAAAAATCTTGACATTGGCAGTTTTACTGAAGCATGAAACTGCCGTGTAGATCACAGTACGCAAGGGCTCGAAACATGCACATTCAAGGCCACAAAATGATACGGCTGGCTGATCGCATTTTTAACATAATTTACCCGTTTATAGAACTCTGTAACTGAACTAGTCATTCATAATTTTCACCCATGTGTGGTTCGATGGTGATCGAATGTGCAACGTGTGACCAACATAAAAATTTTGCGCGATAAATATTAGGATCGTGCCACAGAGAAAAGTTACAACTCTGAATAAGGCACGCGCGTGCGTGATTCCTACATTTGCCCGCAGTAATAACAAAAAGGTTGCGCCATCATGCGGCTCTAATAATGCTGTGTTGCTTCCCACAAACTGTGGAATCCACTTGCGCTGTGCTTCATAAGGCTATGTGTGCTAAACAAAGATGTAAATTGCGCACGCTTGTCAAGTCGACCGTGGCCGCTTTTTAGATGCAATTATACAATGAATTAAGTAGTGTGGTTGGACACATTTCTTACAGCAAAGATAAGTTTCTTTACCGTTATTACCTATTTAATACTTCAATTCGACACGGAATGAGTTGCCACCTTTTACAGAGGCGGCGTGCTCGGCCCTCGTCGTTTTCATTCAGGTGGCCATAGCAGACGACGTCGGTATTCAGGCATTATGAGAAGCGTGAAATTCTTCCAGAGCAGTTATTTAGCTATTCGTACAGTCAGGGAAGAAGCTGCAGCAGTGTTTAACTGATTTCGTTAAGTGGCGTACAAAAAATAATAAAAATAGGAGACACGAAAGCGGCTGCGGGCTGCGCGCGAGAGGGAGGCGCTGCGGTCCAACCACATACTTCACAGGGACTCCTCCGCATGGTGGCGCCACGGTATGTCCTCGCACCTAATACAGATCTGCAAAACTTAAATTCTGAAAACAAAATATGTGCAGTGTCAATTTCATGAAAGGGAACACGGGAACGCATGGCCTTCGTGCTCCGGTGGCAGCTGGCAGCGCGCTCAAGCGGGAGCGAGAGCAACCAGAGTCTCTCTTCGCGTCATCTCGCGGCGAGCAAAACAACCATTCGTTGCTGATATAGAGCGACAAGCTTGCAACCCCTCCTCCTTCTAGGCGATTAACAGCTCTGGCGTAATTGCCTTGAAGGAGGAGAGGGTCGCAATCGTGCTGCTGGTTCCGTATTAGCAACGAATAGTTGTTCTGCTCGCCGTGAGATGACGCGACAAGAGAGTTTGGTTGCTCTAGCTCCCGCTTGAACGCGCTGCCAGCAGCTGCCGGAGTGCACACGCCACGCGTTCCCGTGTTCCCCTCCATAAAAATTGACACTGTACAACCTCTCGAGAAACAAGGGCATCTTAAAACTGCTAAAGCATTTAACTGGCATTGACTGAACGCAATATATACTGCGTTTCATGTCGATTAAAACCATTTGAGGTGTAGCGGTTTCCGTGTATCTTTCTCATGCGCTATTTTGCGTGTTCGCTAGCAATATGGAAGCACTCAATCTAAAGTCGATCATTGAAGAACAAAGTTGCGAACTGCCATTTGTTGAGAACAGCTGTCTGAAGTGGGTAAGAGTGATATGGCAGAGAGAGGGCGAAGTGAGCGGGGCACGCCCTCCCCACTGTCAGTGTTTCTGCCTGTCACCATATTGCCGCCTCAACAGCACCGAAATACTCACACAAGCTAACCGTAGCCTCCCACCCCCTCTTGGAAACCGAAAATCCTGGCATCGTACATCACAGGTTGCCACTCACGTCATTATTCCGCAATAAGAAAAAGTAAGAAGAAACAGGTTACCCTGACGCACTCGCTTTCTTCGTGTCAGTTTATGTACGCTGTTATGTATAAAAAAATCTAAGCGAGTACGCTAGAAAACAAAACGGATTTTAAAAGCCACGATGCCATCAGATCGTTCCAAGTTTTGGAAAGAGTCGAAGTTGCGTGGTGAGTTGAGGCAGCATATTAATTGACTTTTTTTTTCTTTTCTTATGTGGCTGTTCTAGTTCGGAGACATGGTCCTGCCCGCGTGCTCGCTTGTCCTGGACAAGTCAAAGCTTACTTACGCCGCCAGGACCAACCCAGTGAAAGTGGTCCGCGCCATCTCTGCGATGGTAAGTTTAACACTGCGAAAGCGCAAGACCTTCCTAATTGGGGCATTTAGCTATTCCATTTGGCGCATATCAATACTTAAAAAACAAAGTAAACAGAGGTCCAAAAGCGAATAGAGACTCCGCACGTTATCGACCACTGTTTTATAAGTATTGGTTATCGATCACGGTTCTCTAGGTAAGTATTTTCGGTGAGCCCTTAATTGACGTGTATATCACTCTCTTCAAATAGTTGCGTTAACTCTTTTGATTGCCACAAATCTCCCCAGCCCTCATAGAAAAGATCGAGTGAAAGGGGCTTCTTGTTGTCCCACAACAATAATCGGCATCTAGCTTGATTTCCTTCCCTTGCACCTTCGCCGCGCGTCCGGCACTTTCAGGTCACGAACGTCTTGCTCATTATCAGCGTGACGTAGGTTTATTGATAGAAAAGTGTCCAGCGCCGAGTCGTCAAGGACGGAAGTGCAGGCATGCCGGATGAGGAATATTGTAGTGGGACAAAAAGACACCCTATTTGCTCGATCTTTTTTTTAAGTGAGAGTATACCGATTTCTTAAAAGAGTTCACATGTTTTTTTTTTTTAATAGAGCCGTATATTGCGGTAAGTAGGCACACACACACAAAAAAAGGGCCAAAGGACTGGGACTCTTACATATATATTTATTCGAGCTGAATCAAACCGTTTCAACAACTTTCTTGTTGCCAAAAACGTGACTATATTCATCGTGACAACAACGCGGCTGTCCTCCTGACAAAAATAGGGTCTGAAGCTTGATATATTGCTTCTGTAACCACTTTTGACTACTTTCGAAGCCATCTGTTCAGCTACGTCTGCTGTCTTCTTGGCGGTTGTATCGGTCCTAGAATCTCTCCGTGGTAGTTGTCACCGAAATTGAGAGGGCTCGTACTTGGTCTTGAATTATTGGTCAATAATTTCATGAAAGTCTCAAGTACAACAGACGAAATAGAACTGGCAGAGCCATCAAAGTTGATTAATAGGCGTAAGGTATGCGATGTAAGAAGGTATAACATGGAGAGAATTGAACACGCTCTGAAAAACGGAGGAAGCGTCAAAGCAGTGAAGAGGAAACATGGCATAGGCAAAAATCGGATGTATGCACTAAGGGACAAAGAAGGCAAAATAACTACCAATATGGATAGGATCGTTAAAATAGAGGAGTTTTACAGAGATCTGTACAGTAGCCGGGACAACCACGACTTTAATACTATAAGAACTAGCAGTAACCCAGATGACACCCCACCAGTAATGACAGAAAAGTCAGAAAAGCTTTGGAGAGCATGCAAAGAGGCAAAGCTGCTGGTGAGGATCAGGTAACATCAGATCTGCTGAAAGATGGAGGACATATTGTGTTTGAAAAACTAGCCACCCTGTTTACGAGGTGTCTCGTGTCGGGAAGAGTACCAGAGTCTTGGAAGAACGCTAACATCATCTTAATACTTAAGAAAGGAGATGACGAGGACTTCAAGAATTACAGGCTGATCAGCTTGCTCTCTGTAGTATACCAGCTATTTACAAAGGTTATTGCTAACAGAGTAATGAAAACATTAGAATTCAATCAACCAAAGGAACAAGCAGGATTTCGAACAGGCTACTGAACAATCTACTGAATTCATACTATAATCAGGCAACAGAGAAATGCTCAGAATATAACCAACCACTATACATAGCCTTCATAGATTACGAGAAGGCGTTTGATTCAGTAGAAATATCAGCTGTCATGCAGACACTGTGTAATCAGGGCGTAGATGAAGTATATATAAACATCCTGGAAGAAATCTACGGGGGATCAACTGCTACCATAGTATTGAAGAAGAATGGCTATTTGGGCTAGTTGGTTTGAATTCATGGTGCTTCATGAAGAAAGCAGCAGAATACCAATCAAGAAGGGTGTAAGGCAGGGGGACACAATCTCCCCAATGCTATTTACCGCGTGCTTACAGGAGGTTTTCAGAAGCCTAGAATGGCAACAGTTAGGGATAAGAGTTAATAAAGAGTACCTTAGTAACCTGCGCTTCGCCGATGACATTGCATTGCTGAGTAACTCTGGGGACGAATTGCAACTCATTATTCCGGAATTAGACAAGGAGAGCAGAAAAGTGGGTCTTAAAATTAATCTGCAGGAAACGAAAGTAATATACAACAACCTCGGAAAAGAGCAGCACTTCGAGATAGGTAATAGTGCACTTCAAGTTGTAAAAGACTATGTCTACTTAGGGCAGGTAATAACCGCGGAGCCGAACCACGAGATTGAAGTAACTAGAAGAATAAGAATGGGGTGGAACACATTTGGCAAGCACTCTCAAATTATGACAGGTAGATTGCCACTATCCCTCAAGAGGAAGGTATATAACAGCTGTACCTTGCCGGTACTTAGCTACGGATCAGAAACCTCGAGACTTAGAAAAAGGGTTCAGCTTAAATTGAGGACGACGCAGTGAGCAATGGAAAGAAAAATGGTAGGTGTAACCTTAAGAGACAAGAAGAGAGCAGAGTGGATTAGGGAACAAACGGCCGTTAAGGATATCATAGTTCAAATCAAGAAGAGGAAATGGACATGGGCCGGGCATGTAGCGCGTAGACAGGATGACCGCTGGTCAATAAATGTAACTGGATTCCCAGAGAAGGCAAGCGAGTTAGTAGGAGACGGAAGGTTAGGTGGGCAGATGAGATTAAGAAGTTTGCGGGTATAAAATGGCAACAGCAAGCACAAGTCTGGGTTAACTGGCGGAACATGGGAGAGGCTTTTGTCCTGCAGTGGACGTAGTCAGGCTGCTGATGATGATTTTCAGTGTGGACGCCAAAGCTTTCGGTACTGACTGCAAAGCAAGCAGCATTTCCATTCAAAATGGACAAGAAGATGTGTGATCGACAGGCGCGAAAGAGTGAACCAGTGAGCGTGCTCTGTCGTGTGCCATAAATATAACGTGCCAATACAATTATTGCTATAGCCAATTTAGCTAATCATGCCGAAACGGCATTTCACGTATGTGTGAAGAGACACACAACATCTATCAAGTCATACGTTGCGTGAAGACTTTTGACAACGCTTTTGTTCATTTCAGTCATGTGTTACTGACGTTACCTTGGCTAACGGAAGAGAGTTAATAAATGATGTGGCATCAATGTTCACTTAGTTAGCCTGTCCGATCCCGATCGTGGCAACCTGCGGTGCGTGCCTTATTGTTCAATTGCAGGCTCATCTTTTATTGTTATCCTCGTCTTTTTTTGCCATTCACATACTTATTCAGCAGAAAGTATTTTAATTATCGTATCTTTCTATTATGCCTTAATTTACGCAAGTTAGCTTGACTCTTTATTGTATAAAAGATAGACGATGACACGTTTCGCATTGCGATAAATTTACTTTTTTTCAACATGCACACAAATGACAGAATTCGCTAATTAGGCAATCACACGGGTCGGGTAAAGCCCGACCATAGTTTGCTGAAATTCGGATGACGCATCGATAAGGCATCTCATATTTAACAGAAGAATGAGCACAATGTGCGGCTCAATTTCAATGAACCCGAGACGCCGCCTCAACGGACTGATAGACGCGGTACATTCATGCGCTGGTCGACCTCGACTGTATCTCTTTTTCACAATTATCGCCCTTCATCTCGCTTCGTCTCACAACTAATGATGCCTCACAGAAAAAAAAATGACCGCTATATCCAGAAAATGAATGACGTTAGGGGAGCTTGCTCGGAGGTGCACGGGGTGTTTCTTGGCGAGATTATTTCTGTAGGAAGGCTTGTTAATGAGCCGGCGCATGATCTGCACGTCGAAAGTAGTGCTGTGAGGCACGTCCCGCGGCCGTCACTGCACAGTGTTGGCCACGTCGATCGGCACGTTACCCACCTCTGCCCCTCTCTGCTATACTGGCCGCTGCCGTACGTAAGTGGAATGCCTAACGCTCATAAATGGCAGACGTAGAGCTATCAGGCGTTTTTCAACAAGGTTGAGAGCAGGCAGGTGAGGGGGCATAAGAGGAGATCGGTACCTGTGCGTAACACTCACAGTAAGAACTTGTCACACGCTGCCGGGCCTACGAAGCTACAAAAACGAAGTGGACGTAGTCGCGAGAAGACGAGCGCGCGGGTCATCGAAAACCGATGCCTCGGGAGGCGGTGCGCCATCTAGTTAGTATTGTTGGAATCACAGGAGAGGCAACCGGAGTGGCGACCGGAGAAGCGTACACTGGAACACAGGTGTCCACGCCAGCGATGGCCGGACTAGGCGTGAGCATAAAAAGCTTGTCGAGCAAGCTGCTAAAAAAACTAGTTGTTGGAATGATCGGTATACTTTGTAAACATATTTATTTAACAGGTGTGACACCAAACATGTGCAGTTCAAGACACTGGAGAAGTGCGTACAAACTCACGTCAGACGCCTGTCGCTAGTGTCACTTTTTTTTAAGTTTGCAGCTGTTGAAACCTGGAAGCATGAATAAATTAGCCAAAGGCCACGCTCCTCTATTTATCTCTTTTAACACAAACAAAACGCTAACAAACAAAGTATACACTACCTCTGCGCTTACTGCCCTCCAACTTCCAAGATATCCGGAAAGTTTTATGCTAATACGCCATCGCTTGAGTGTTAGTTGTTTGTTCACAGCCACCAAGTAAACAACTCCCACACGCTTTCCTGGCGCGAAAGAGATTACGATCGCCCATCGCCGACAACTGTTGCTAACTGAAATTTTGTGGTTCGTCGTTGCAACGTGTTGGCATGATTACGTCGTTATGCTTCCCTTAAAGAAACACGAACAAAACCACAGTACCGAGAGTAGAAGTGCCTTCTAAGGCACTTCCACTATCGCCGCCGTCAAAATCATCTTTTGGTTCTAGTCGCCTTAGAGTTGCCGCACTGCAATCACTCCCATGGCGACGACAATGCTTATGACGCTCAGCATAAACGGCAAAATTATTCGGTAATAAAATAGTTCGCACTGTATTTTCCTTATGCTCACATAAACCCTCATAAAATTTTATGGGGAGGAATATTCGCACCAGATGAGTACATTACTACAGCCGCGGGGCTTTCAACGCTGACGCAGGTTAACAGTGCAGACGATGGTGGAATAGTCACTGGCAACTGGTCGGGCAACTACGACGACGGCACGGCGCCCTGGATGTGGACTGGAAGTAGCGCCATCCTCGAGAAGTACGTCAAAACTGGTGGCACCTCCGTCAACTACGGGCAGTGCTGGGTCTTCTCTGGTGTATGCAACACTGGTGAGAAGCTTTATGGAAACTGTGCCGAAAGTTCCCCTTAATTTTCTTTTTGCCAATGCAATAATAGTAAGCAGGTTGAGCTGACGGGTCTCTGACATAAAAGCAAAGCAAATGAGTTTTTAAAAATAAGGGGCTTCAAAGTGCGATATCAAAAATTTTTGAAACGCAATAATATCCTAATTAATCAAGTTTCACTACATATACTCTAAACGAAAAAAAGTATGGACCATCTACCCATAGGGAACCATCATAGGATGCGAAGCAGCAGCGTTGTGCACGCCGTTGACCCGGCTGAAACGAACATCAACGCGGGTGCTGAAAGAAAGGTTTAAAGCGAAACTGTGTGTAGCCTTTACTCGAGCAAACGTTTCTCTGAAACGCAGACACTGGAGGCGGGCTGGGTTTAGTGTAAATTTTGTGGCAGATAAACGAGCCGAATGAGTGTTTCCCCTCGATGTGATGTGCGCTCGAACGTTGCGAGTGGTAGAGAGGATGAAGCGAGAGAGATGACACGTGGCTAGCGGCGACATGCCAGAAAGAGAGTGACGTCAACGCACGTGCACTGCGAGGGAAGGCGTTAACTACTTGGCACCGCCTCAGCACCTGCGGCCAGGGGAGCACGGTGCGGACGGAGAGACAGCGTCCCACAGGCTACTAAAAAAGCTGCTTCGCATATAAAAAGCGTATGTGGGGCGTCTTTCTGCTGCACGACGGTAATCTTCTTCCATATCGCGTGTCTTTTCTTGCGTTATCGCCATGCACCTAGATTCTCCCGATCCCGAACGGCGCATGACTGTCAGCTTGACGTAGCACTCTCGAGGCAAAACTTGTGAGCGCACAGTTTACACGCTGTGGTGGTGTCTAATGCACTCGGTTGCTGACGTGAAGGCGCAGTGGCCACATTTTCGATGGAGGCGAAAATGCTTGAGGCACGTATTTTTAGATTTGGGTGCACGTTAAAGAACCCCAGGTGGTCGAAATTTTCATAACCATCCCACTACTGCGGCGTCTCTCATAACCATATGGTGGTTTTAGGACGTTAACACCCAACAACTATTATTAGTGAGCGCATGGTTTCCGAGAAAGGAATCGCAAGCAAGCCGGATGATGATCGTCCTTGTGTGGCAGAATGACGCCCCAAATGCTTCCGTATGCCTAAGGTCCCACTGAGATATGCCTGCCCGATAGAAGCTAGTCCTATAGCTTACTAAAGGCCATAATACTGAATAAAATGGGCCTCGAGACTTTCATGTGATTGTTTTCGGAAACATTGCCTCTCATTGTTCTCTTTTCGGCAATTTCGCAGTGTGCCGTGCACTCGGTATCCCGTGCCGTCCAGTTACGTGTTATGCGTCTGCCCACGATACGGACGAGAGCATTACCGTCGACCGCTACTTCGACAAGGAAGGCGAGGAGCTCAAAAAATACTCCAGGGATTCCATCTGGTGCGTAAATGCTCGATTTAAAACGGAAACACACCGCGACTGCTGGTCTGCACATTTTAACAGCACACATTTCACAGATGTGCACTCCCACTGATATATTGTTTGCTCGTGGTTAAGTAAAGCAATTTAGTGAGTGCAGGAACACTTTTTATTGGAAAGATCTATAGGCGCCTTTATTATTTCTAAGTACATAAGTTTTTTGAGGGCAATTTGGATTTTTTAAAAGCAAGATTGTTTAGAAAAGGATAGAAATAACCCGGAGTACTACGTACAGTGTACTTTGCTGAAGGGTCACACAGCTGTCACGACTGTACAGATTGAAGACAGCTTCATTTTTTTACCTTCAGGAATTTCCACGTGTGGAACGAAGTGTGGATGGCAAGAAAGGACCTTCCATCAGGCTACGGCGGATGGCAGGCTATTGACGCTACGCCACAAGAAACCAGTGATGGTACGGTGCACATAGCATGAAAAAAGTCTCACGTAACAATTTTTTTTTCTCCGTAACCTATTAAACTGAAAATTTCCTCGTAAACAGTGTAATACTGAAACACCAGTGCTGACGTCGAAAGCGGCCGTATTCCAACGAAGCTCCTCGTTGACACAGGCTTCTACCAAGTCGGCCCGTGCTCAGTGATGGCCGTCAAGAAGGGCGAAATAGGCTACATGTACGACTCGCCATTCGTGTTCGCCGAAGTCAACGCCGACATCATCCACTGGAAAGAAGACCCCGAAAGCGCTTTCGGTTGGTCTCGAAGCAAGACGTTGACATACCAGTAAGCCTGCACAATTTTATTTGCATTGTGCTGTCGTTGCCCATCAGTGGGGACGGAAAGGGAGGGGGGGGGGGGTAATTGAAGTTGTCGATAGGCTTGCGTTTCCTGATTTCGTACAAAAAAAAGCACAATTGCGGAACAACTAGTGGTTTGGGGTGTCGCCAAAACTCGAGTATTTGAACGACAGTCGACAACCTAATAAGCGTACACGGGGCAAGCATCAATCAATGGAAAGTTGATAAAATATTTTTTTGAATCTGTACTCTACTTCTGTTACCAAATTTTTTTATTTTTTAACGTTCCTGATACTTCGATTTTCCGTGCGAGAAGTTCGCACGTCAGGCTAACAAGCGAGAAAATATTTTCATGCTTCTATACAAGAAACACGGCAATTTTCATTCAATTCAGTGTGTCCGTCTACGTCTATATGCCACCACCAACCGTTTGTTTTTATTTAGCCTGGACAACCTACCGAATTCACCGTTCACTCTCACTTACTACCTTTAAAAAAAAGAGGGTGAGACAGGGTATGTAAGACATGATCTGTCTCGTAGCTGTGTCCCCGTTATTGTAGCTTTATCGTAGCTGTGCCCCCGTTATTGCGGGTGCGGATGACGAATTTATGATATGAAAAGAATAGGGCCTGAGAAAACAACAACTATTCCAGAATGCTGTCACAGGCCTACATTTCTGAGGGGCCGCATTGGGCTAAAGTCGAACGTGGCTTTTGCATATGAAGGTGTTGATTATCGCTGCTATAATCGTGGATTCACACACCCAGCTGTAACACCAACATAATGATCGCTTGGCGAATCAACATAGGCAGCAGCGCTGCTAAATCACCATTATCTGTTGATGAATCGCCCCGCCGCAGTGGTCTAGTGGCTAAGGTACTCGGCTGCTGACCCGCAGGGCGCGGGTTCGAATCCCGGCTGCGGCGGCTGCATTTCCGATGGAGGCGGAAATGTTGTAGGCCCGTGTACTCAGATTTGGGTGCACGTTAAAGAACCCCAGGTGGTCTAAATTTCCGGAGTCCTCCACTACGGCATCTCTCATAATCATATAGTGGTTTTGGGACGTTAAACCCCACATATCAATCAATCTGTTGATGAATCGTCTGGCCGTCCAACATAATAATAATAATGATGATGATGATGATGATGATGTCTGGGTTCTGACGTCCAAAAACCACGATATGATAATGACGGATGCCGTAGTGGTGGGTTTTGAAAGTTTGATTTATCTGGTGTTCTTTAGCATGTACTTGATCGAACCCACGATTTTCGACTCAGCAGCCGAGCACCGTAACCGTTACTCCACGGCGGTGATCTGCTTCATTAAAATAATTATCAACATATTATAGTTATTTAAAATTATTAACGCAACGAAAATATGACAGAATTGCATGAGAGACACCGTAGCAGAGAGCTCTGGAAATGTTGACCATCTGGAGTCCTTTAACGTGCAGCTAAACCCAAGTACACAGACCTTGAGACTTTTCTTTTCACCTGCGTCAAAAATACTGGATATTTGTTTAACGTTCCAAAAAACCATAAAGCGACATCAGTATAATAACGAAAACTACAACGATGTAGCACATTTCAGACTCTCAGACACCCATATTCAGCAGGCCACATACAACAGAAGAAACAGAAGATTTTGTCATCGGTAAGGTATGCAGTAAGCGTGTTTCGAGAAGGCTGGCAGCCGGGTCGTTCCGCTATTATATAAAGATCACGATAACACACAGGTACGCGTCTCTATTACAGACAATGCAGAAGGAATTGTTTTTCGGCTGGTTGGTGCTTGCTCAAATTTATAATGTAGCACAAAAAAAGACACGATGGGCACACATAAGCACACAGCACAAGCGTTACTAACAAATTCTGTATAAGTTGTTAGTAGCGCTACTGGTGTGTTTCTGTGTGTTGGTTGTGTCTTTTTTGTGGTACATTATCAATTTGTACAGACAATATCAAAATAGGTCTCACCAGATATGACATATGCGTATTTTTTTATTTCAAGTAGTTCTTAAAAAATGACTCCGATACCAAGGAAACACTGATAAGCCACCATTAACAACCAAACCTGTTTACACACTAGCTTTCCGCCAAATAAATCGCTGCAATAAATACAACGTATTCGTAATGACATCTCATCATAACAAGCTTGAGAAACAAGTGCCTGCAAAAGCATGTTGGGGCAGCGCTACAGCAGTTACGACTGGCACCGTGGAATGTGGTAGTTCATTGTCATTTTCATTTTGCTCTCCTGTTCTCGTCCGTATGTGACACTTCAGGTATCTGTGATTGAGGAATTGTTTCTAAATGGTGTTATGTGGTTGTCATATTGCACATTCTTCTCTCATTCTATGCTCTTACTCGAAACTTTATTTGCAGTGTGGGCCTCGGAGTGTTGACAAAAAAAGCCAACGTTACGATCCGAGATGGCATGGGGGATGCCGAAGACATCACGCACTGTTATAAGAGCAAAGAAGGTATGTTCAAACCATTGATCAGCAGTCATAAAATCATCTATCAAACTTGCAATTATCAGTATTACACAGAAAAAATGTGACAGCTTTGCCAGAAAGGCGAAGCGATGAACGCGATAGCAACAAATCGGAAGGTCACGCACAGAATAGAAAGCAGATCGAAACATGCCACTCATTTCTCACGCACAAATGACGCACAAAACGTACTCACAGTTACGGATGCACGCGAGTGAGCGTCTGATTTGTTACTTTGCTGTGCCTAAAAGTGCGCGCTTTTCGCAAACGAAGAGTGCAATGATTGCAGTGATCTTTGTGCATCCAGTAATATACAGCAGAATCGTTCTAGGTAAAGCCCGAGGCCAGCCAAGGCGTACGACCTTCTCTTCCTCGCCGCCGCGAGATAAGGGCGCGTGAGGGATTGTCGCTCCCCTTCTCTAAGCCGGGCTAAGTACGCGTAGGAGATTAGAGCGGGCGCCGCCACGCGATGTGGCGACGCGCGTTCATTGCGCCATCTTGCTGGTAATGCTGAGAATACAATTTTCCCTCGAGATGCTCGTGAGCAGCGGTAAGTGGTAGTTATAAGTAGCTGACTCAGCGGTTACCGCCTCGCTTTCACGACCCAGAGGTGCCACACGTTCGGTTCCCCTCGCCGGAGTGTTTTTTCTGTATTTTTTCTTTCTTGCGTTTTCATGCATATAGATACGTATACATATACGGTGCATGACATCGATGTCGACGCCGGTGGCGAATCCAGCTGACAGTGTCTATATAATTGCTATTGCAATAATAAGTGATTAAGCACGCAAAGCATATGAACTGAAATAGTGGTGGCGTATTGAAAGAACACAGTTGTCTTGTGTTCTAATGGAACTTTGGAGATATTTTACTGCTGGAGCTCGAAAGGTAAAAGTAGTCATAAGTCATGTAAAAGCCGCTAGTTTCTACTGCTCATCTATATCAGGGCTCACATCTGCTTCTCGGACGCAGTCCAGACATTTTGTCCCGCAAAGGGCCGGTACAGGGAAGGAGGTGTGAGCTGGAGGGGGTGGGGGTAACAAGATAACAGCGAACATTCCCTATTGAAAGCAGGCCTGTAAGGGTTATTTCTGAATGGGATGCCCATAAACCCAACTTTTAAAATACGGACGCCGATTCTGAAGTATATACATTTTCGTTCCAGGTAGGTTTCACCACCAGGTGACCGCATGGGATGCCTCACAAAAAAAATAATGCATAAGCAAGCCACCTGTGTAAAGCTTACAACTCCCCTCCCCTTACAGAAGCGTTACTAATCCGAGTAGGCGAAAAAATACCAGCACCATTCAGCAATGCCACTAACAGCCTCAAAGTGATATTAAACTATGGAACGAAGACTGTCATGTGTGGACCGCGGGCCGCTAGAGAAAATTCCATGGGCCGCATGTTTGAGACTCCTGATCTCTATTAATGCTTTAACTTCCACTGGTGGAATCCCTCAACGGTGCTGTATACCTCAGTCTATACAGAAGAAGCATATTCGTCGCAATAAGCGCTGCTTCGAGTAACGTTGTGCTCTTGTGTGCTGCGCGCCACTGATGGTACTTGTATATTAATTACATGGAAGTTAAACTTACGCCTAATGAGTACCCCTGGACAGCGCCAAGTCACGATTAAACCATTTGCTCACAGGAACGGAGGAAGAGCGCATGGCAGTTCTGAACGCCGCACGCAGTGGTGGCCTGAACGTGTTGTTCGAGCTTCCCAGCGAGTCGAAGCAGGACGTGGCGCTTAAACTGCAAGACATCGAGAGCATCATGATCGGCGAGCCGTTCAGCGTTACCGTGAGCATGCGCAACGAAAGCAACGAGCAGCGCACCATCAACGCGGTGCTCTGCGCCTCGTCGGTCTACTACACCGGCATCCTGGCGCGCAAGATGAAACGAGACAAGGCCACGTTCGTGCTCCAGCCGCAGGAAGGTGGGAATTCCATAAAGCAGGGGCACATCACTGCCGTTTGGCTTTAGAGCTCATTTAACGTAGTCTGTGATAACTTGGCACTCAATGCGAATTGATTACATTGTGCCCCATCATAACGACACCTAAGGGACATGAAGAAGGTGGGTAGCTTAAGGACAAATACTTTGAGTATAGATTGTTCCGCATATTCGTGTAAATCGAATGTCGACACAGATCACAGCAGAAACAATGCACAACCTGCGCAATGCACAACCTGCGTTTTTGAGCGCGTTTGAGTTCAGAATTTTTCGTAACTGATATTGTACATTTTGCCAGAATATGTGCCCTAAATGGACATAAAAAGAAAGAAGAGAAAAGAAAACGTGACTGTAGTCTTTAAAGATATTTAAAGGTGGACGGTAAACAGATGATGTGCCGATGCAAGACAACAGTATAATGTTTCTAACTTTCTGTCTGGTTGTTACTTTTGCTATGGACCTTTTGGGCACAAGTAAGCCTCGTATCATGTTCGAACACATGGTGAGCTGAAAATGAGATATGCCCGCCGAGCTGTCATCACGTAAGCAATCGCACTGTGTTTCCGTGCGAAAAACACTGCACGCTTCATGCGCACCTTAGACGCTAGCGCAGTCGATAGCGTTGAACATTCGCCTAGTAAAGTAGTGGTCCAAGAAATAGGGGGAGGGGGGAGGGGGGTCTCTGAGACTTAGGGACTTCAGTAGTTTTGCAATCACCGGTTTGATATATACACACAGAATGACGAGATTGAGAATAGGGCATTCAGCTCACGATGCCACTGTGAGGAATAAATAATAAAATTACAAACAAACCACACCGTGGCTTCGCTTTTTTGGTGCTAAACAAAAATTTCGAGTATTAATACAAATTATTGCAAGCATTATTTATTATGTTAAATTATCCGTGTCAAGCTTGAGGTAAAAGGCATTACCAAATAACCACTCGTAGCATACGAAAACTACTAGGCATCAACAATCTAGTCGAACTTGAAGAGCCATCACGTTGATCGGAGCTGCCATGTTTATCGACGAAAATCTCATGCGGCAGCCTTTGCGGAAAAGTAGGTTGCTCTGCTTAAGACTCCTATGCAACTTGCCTTTCACGCACGTGAACTAGCAAGTACGTCAGCGTTATTTGTAAGGGGCCACAAAACGTCTAGGGATTTTGTCAAAAAAGCTCTAGCGACTACGACCCTCTCTCTCTCCGACGCTTCGCTTTCGTGTTTTTTTTCTTTCAGTATTTCTTCTCATTTCTCAACTACGAAACGCCTTTAAAGTTCTGTAATATTTTGCTTTTGCGCCTTTTTATATAAAAAAAGTAAGTCGTCAGTTTTACAAGTACAGACAAGTGCCCCTCTACGCCCTCCCCCCTTTATTTGTCGTTTGTATGAATATGCTAACAAACCAACATTGCTTTCCTTTCCAGAAGAGGTATTGTTACTGACAGTCCAGCCCGAAGAGTACCTCGACAAACTGGTGGACTTCGCAATGGTGAAAATCTACGTCATCGCAAACGTCAAGGAGACGAGACAAACATGGTCTGAGGAGGACGACTTCACCATCACGAAACCGAAATTAGACATTCAGGTATTTAGATGAGCCGATAACACGCACTTACACCTATTACTATATCAACGACAGCAGTTTACTGAAGTGCGAGGATATATCGAAGATGGAATGCGGGTGCAAATTATATTTATAAGTAAAAAACTTCATAATTTTCAGATTGCCTCCATATAGTTCTCTCAAGCGTTATTATATTTTTTAATCAAGCACAAGCTAAACTATTTCGAACGGACGGCCCAGTGGGCTGTTTACGCTCTGATCTGGCGCACGAAATGATGAGAAACCAGAAATGGGACGCAAAGGCGCTCACGTGTGTGTCACGCCTGTCTACTCATCAGCTCGAGCGCTGAAAGCTACATCAATAGAGAGTTTCCGAATAGAGGTCCTAATAGTTTTGGCGCCCTAAATAAATAGCGTCGAGGCCAGTGCGCACGCGCAAGACCTAAACAGGGTTTGTAACTTTGAGTTTTGTTTGGGGGACGCTATTTATCAAATTTAGCGCGAGCCCCGAAAGCTTTGCGTTAGGCAAAAGTGAAAGCACCCACTTAAGTGACAGCTCTCGGCCAATGATCGAGTGACCTAAATTAGGGGGAGTGTCAAAGCGCCGCGCCCCTATTCGAAAACAACTCCTGCTTTACCCAAATCGAGCACACGCAATGGGTTTCGGGACCACAAACTTATGGGGCCCCTACTGAAAAACTTCCTATTGTCACACTAGCACGTCCGAAACGCTATGTTTTTTTTTTTCTTATGAGCACGATCTTTGTCTATCAGAGCATACCTTTCAGGTATCTTTGAGAAGTCACGCCGTTTATAGCGAAACACACCCTTCCGTTGTGAAATACCAAACTGCCATAATTCGCACGCACTATTTTTGCAGGTCGAAGGGCCAGTGAAGGTCGGCCATCCATTCAGGCTCATAATGCGCTTCACAAATCCACTTAATGTGCCTCTCCGAGACTGCACCCTGTCCGTTGAAGGCCCCGGCGTGACAAGCGCGCACATCGTTCACCTCTCGTAAGTAGAACGGCGTGTTCAGCCAGCGCCTACCTGTAACATACACGCGCATACATAAAGCGTCCATGCGATGGCACCACTTACATTCGGCAGTTCCTTTTTGTTTTGTTTTTTTTTTTCAATTTCTGTGACAGCGTGGCCCATCTGCGCAACCTTAACAATAATTTATAATTTACGGGGATCAACAACCCACAACCACGATATGATTAAAGAGACGCTGTAGTGGAGGGCTCCGGTAATTTCGTCCTAACGTTCACCTAAATCTAAATACACGGGCCTTGAGTATTTTCACCTCCATCGAAAATGTCCCCCACCGAGGTTGGGATTCGATCCCACCACCTGTGAGTCAGCAGTCGAGCAATAGCCCCTAGACCACCAAGGCGGTGAAGCTGCGCAATATTGCCAACGAAATCGATATTTAAAGATAGGACTTGGGTGGCGTACGTGGTAGCTTCCTTTTTTTTTTGTTTTTTTGATAAGTGGGCCACACAATAATCATGTATTAGTTACCGAAGTAAGAGCAAGTGAAGCTGAAATTAAAGCTTCTGCGCAAACACCGGAAAGAGGGAAGAAAACAAAATGTGCTCGCAGCGTGTAGACGTGAGCAAAGCATTTCCATGTTTGCAGGGCAGCGGAGAGTCGGGGAAGATCATTTTGAAATTTATTTTAACCGTTGCTTATAGGACGAAGTGCAGCTGCTCATAATCTCTAATCCTGCACCCTATTGACGTTGTAACGTAATTGATAACGCCAGTAATGATAAAACTGGGAAAAGAATAAACGTAACCTAAATGAAAAAATAAAGAACCAAGTTTTAGTTTTTCTTTGTCATGATCGAAATGTGTCATTAACATATTCACAGTTTGATAGATTGACGTACTTCCCTCTAACGTGAAATTCTACCACTTCATTGCATGGCTCTATTATAAAAACGTTACTAGCACCACTTTACGTCTGAAACATTCGTGTCAACATATGCGCCTCATACAGACTGGACATACAGTCGCCATGTTAGCTCAGTTGGTAGAGTATCGGAAGCGTCATTCGAGGTTCACAGGTTCCGTCCCTGCCCAAGGCCAGTTAGCTTTTCGCCAACTTTCATTTCTTCACATTCACAACTGCTTCTAATAACATCCCCTATAATTTCCTTGGCATGGTTGTCTGTTAGATCTCAGTATTATGTTGTTTAACAAAGAAAACAAGTTCTTAAATGTACGCTTCCTTCCTACATTCGTAGAATGTGTGAACCATCTTTTCCTCGTTCGGGACATCCACGAGCTAGCGCTATATATTTCAATACTGTATTCCAGTGCTGTTGTACGTAAGCGAGCGCATGGTGGTACTTCGGTTGCCACCTTCACTCGTATATAGTTTTGTTCTTCGAGCTCAACATCTACAGAGAGGCCCTAATCGTACGCAGACAAAAAGATATATCTCGCTCACCCGATATTGATATGCGTGTATTGCTGCGTGTCTTGCTTACTTCGACAACGCGGCATCAGCTACGGCCTCGAGTTACACCTAACGTCTTTGCTGTTCTCGACAATGCGCAGGAATGTGGCACCGCGCGCCGAGTGGGTGCACCGGGAGACGTTCGTGCCAGCGAGGCCTGGTCCGCGCAACGTGGTCGCCGTGTTCAACTGCCGAGAGCTGTTCAACATCGAGGGCTCGGCGCAGACGGTGGTCCAAGCATGAGCCCTTGCGGCTGTGCGACCTCGCTCCGCTTTTCTGCGCTTGCAAGGCAGCAATTTGTGTGGCAGCAATAGTTGGCTGACAAGCTTTCACTCGTGACGCCCAGACTGTGTTGTGTGTATAGAAGAGAGTCATTTATTGGCCAATAAAGCGCATATGTCGCTTTTTTTACGACGCGACCAAAGCGCCCCTCACCTCCCTCCGTTTACTTGTCGGTTCTTAAGTGAAAAAAAAAACAACGTATCACTAACAACAGAGTCTAATTAACTATCATCGGGAAATGATGGGAGGGCTTGCTTAGCGTGAATTGTTTGCTGTACCAGGAAATTCAAGCCAACTGAACAAAACGGTGAGGATTTATGTTCAGAAAGAAAGAAAGAAAGAAAGAAAGAAAGAAAGAAAGAAAGAAAGAAAGAAAGAAAAAAAGAAAGAAAGAAAGAAAGAAAGAAAGAAAGAAAGAAAGAAAGAAAGAAAGAAAGAAAGAAAGAAAGAAAGAAAGAAAGAAAGAAAGAAAGAATGAAAGAATGAAAGAATGAAAGAATGAAAGAATGAAAGAATGAAAGAAAGAAAGAATGAAAGAAAGAAAGAATGAAAGAAAGAATGAAAGAAAGAATGAAAGAAAGAATGAAAGAATGAAAGAAAGAAAGAATGAAAGAATGAAAGAAAGAATGAAAGAAAGAATGAAAGAAAGAAAGAATGAAAGAAAGAATGAAAGAAAGAATGAAAGAAAGAATGAAAGAAAGAAAGAAAGAAAGAAAGAAAGAATGAAAGAATGAAAGAAAGAAAGAATGAAAGAAAGAAAGAAAGAATGAAATGAACAAGGATATATTGTCGTGGAAACGAACTAAAATAAATTTGGAAGTACGATAAAAACATTGTGTTATGGCCGAAGATACCACCGAAAAATCTGATATTTGTTCCATGCTCCCCATAATACACATTTTCATATCTCTCCCATTATACTGTATTCACACTATTGTGAGTCGGCTCGAATGTACGTCAACCCCCTCAAGCAGTCAGCATCCGTAATATCAGGTACTTCTGTGGCCTGTTCTCGGGAAATGTTGTTCTGGAATTAACTAAAAATGTAGCACCAACTAGCCCCGTAACACGTTATTTACAGTCAGGACAAAAAAAACTGCGAATTCTGGTGTGCAAAGTTATTTTATGGTGGTGCTTTGCCGCTATGCAAAAATAGCTAGACGCACAGCAAGGTGCGGGTATCTTTTTTTTAGAAAATTTTCCACTAATCTTTGTTGAGAGTACAAGTTATACGCAAGAAAATATGGTATATGAAGTAAAGCCGGAACGCCAACGTAATTTCGCAACCATGGCCCAGCGTCCCCGATTTCTCGTTTGACAAGCTGTAACTGGCGCTACTATTTTGTTTCGATTGTAAGCCAACGCTACAACTTCCGACTTCAAATTTAGAAGACATTTGTCGACCAATTGTGTAAGTACGGTGCAGTCAGAAGTGACTCTTGTATTCTGTTGTTCTTTTTCTCGGCCTCTTTCTCCTGAATTGAACAATGCTTTCTACCAGCACAAAATGCTTTATTTGCATTCGCTGAGGTTGATGGGAAAAATACTAAGCTACCCATTCCTGCCTGTGGTGAAGTTGTATTTGATTCGCGGTGTACTACAACAATTATGTCGGCACAAACGTGCATGTGCATGTAGAGATATGATACGAAACTGTCAATACATCATCACCGGACATGGCACGCAGCTGTTTGCTCACCTCGTTCAACAGGGACAGGTGGAGCTGTCTCTTGCTTCGAAAGAGCCGGTGCCCTTTCTCTGTTCAGGGACTTCTTGCAGGTCGCACTCTAAGAGAAGGATTGCTCCTATTCGCCGGAAGACGTACCATTTTAAAGTTTCATGTGGAAAGAAACCGAACCATAGGCGGTTGCCAACGCTGCATAAAACGCAGATTGCGTCCACTGCGTGGTCCGCATGTAAACCTGCTTGTGACACGACCAAAAAAGCCTTGATTTAGCAAACCGACGAACGTGCTATGCAGTAATACCACTGGTATTAGAGGATTATCATTACGCGTGTTACAACCTCGTATTACTCTCATAAAAAATGAAAAAAGAAACAAAACTCGTTAAACAGGTAATGACACTGGAGCCAGAATTTGGACAAGTGGGCTTGCCTTCATCCGAGCTGCAACTGACAAGTACCGTTGTTGCTCTAACTTCTGTCCTGTTTGAACCATGACTGTTACCACGCCATTGAGAAGCATTTTGAGGATAGCAAGTAGACCCATAAAAGAAAGCTTGGCTATCACAGGTGCTAATATACGCAGACAACACTGCCATCATAAATTGCTGCGGGCACTACTGGTCGCAATCAACCACCCTTTTGACAAATCAAATTTCATCAGGTCACGTATCGTTCACGTACAGAGCGACAGCTGCCCACACTCAAGACCTGAGCTAACGCACGGTGTGTGAAAGGCAACGGCCAAGTTCAACTACACCATCATAAAGGGTAGGTGCATCCTTTTCGTGGGTTGCAAGCACGGAAGAACTTCATAGGGTATTTTTTTTCAAATCAGATGTTTAAATTGGCGTGTAATTTTTATGCAATAAGACTTCGTTTGGCACATGAATAGCGTTCCCTGATAACTTGTAAGACATGTGTTCCTCATCTTTACCAGGTGACAAACTTGCCCTCACTCGTCACTGACTGCGGTCTTTGCTGAGAACTACGCTGCGCGACAAATAACGGTATGTGAATGTACTCGATGTGAAACATATACCTGATACAAGTCACAATCCTATTAACGAGAGAGAGGGAGAGAAAACATTTATTGAGTTAAGCTTGTGAGTGAAGGAGGGAGGGTCCCTTCTTCCAGGAACCCTCAGGTCTGGACAGCCCGCCGGCCTCGAGCGACGAGTTGACGCTGCTCGACCAGGTCCGGCTGGAAGATCGCTGCCTCCCCCGCTTCACTGAGGAGGTCCTGGACCGCATCTGGTGCTAGTGCTTGTAGCCTTTGGACGCTTACTTTGCACTGCAGTAGGAGGTGCGCCAGAGTGTCTGCCACATTGCAATGAGGGCAGATGTACCTACGGAATTTCGGCCTCATATCCTGCAGTAGTACGCCGTGGGTGAACGTGTTGCTTTGAAGGCGCCTGTAATCAGTGCCTTCGTCTCTTGTGAGTTTTGAATGTGGCGGAGAGTATGACCTACGTTCGAGACGATAATGTTGCCGTAATGCATGATACTGTTGCAAATGTATTTACTACTTCAGAGTAGAAAAATAGTCCGGCAAGCAATATGGCAGCCGTTGCGTATTTTCGAACACCAAACACGTCGTCATCCTCTTCTGCGCACCACCTCGCACAGAGATAGCCGCAACTAGCCGCAACCCCGCAACAGCCACCTCCGGCGGCAAAATCGCCGACCCAGTCCTTTCTAATAAGTGTTGGACGAGAGGTACGGCTTCGGGCGAGCGACGTGGACGATGTTGGAAGATGTGGAGGGCATGAAAGGGGTTTCGATGGGCTATATCGTAGGTGACATCAGTTACTTGTCGTAGCACACGGTAAGGTCCGGAATACTTGGGTAGAAGCTTTTCGGCCAGGCCAACATGCCGCGACGGAGTCCACAGAAGAACGATGTCACCCAGATTAAAGCGGACGTTCCGATGGTGGCTGTCATAGCTATGTTTCTGGTGGAGCTGTGAGTTCTAAAGGCGTCGGTGAGCAATCTGACTGGCCTTCTCGGCTGTGCCGACAGTGCGGCGAGCATATGATGTGGATAGGTCGGCAGGGTTGGGTACAATCGTGCCGAACGGCAATGCCGGGTCTCTTCCATACAAAACGCAAAAGCGAGAATATCCAGCAGCGTCGTGGCGTGAGCTATTATAAGTGAAAGTAACAAAGGTTAGCGCAATGTCCCAGTCACGATGATCACTCGACACGTACATGACGAGCATGTCAGTGAGCGTACAATTCAAACGCTTTGTGAGGCCGTTCGTTTGAGGATGATAGGTCGTCGTAAGCTTGTACTTCGTTGCGCAAGAACGAAGTACGTCGTCGATTACCTTAGATAAAAAGTAGCGACCACGGTCGGTGACCAGTTGACGAGGAGCGCCGTGATGTAAGAGGACGTCTTGGATCAAAAATGTCAGCGACGTCTGTAGCGCAGCTGCTTGGAAGAGGTCTCGTAATGGCAAAACGGGTTGAATAATCTGTAGCGATGGAGACCCATTTGTTACCGTTGGTAGAAAGAGGAAGAGGGCCCAGCAGGTCAATGCCAACATGATAGAAAAGCTCGGCAGGTATGTCGATCGGTTGAAGGAGCCCGGCGGGTTGTACACCTGGTCTTTTGTGGCGTTGGCACGACTCGCAAGAAGCACCATAACGTTGTACGGAACGGTAAAGGCCGGGCCAGAAAAAGCATCGGCGGACACGGTCGTACGTTTTAGCAACACCAAGGTAGCCAACCGTTGGTACATCTTGTAGTTGCTGAAGTACGGTCGAGCTCAGATGAGTGGGTACTACGAGTAGTAGTCCTTGTCCCACAGGGTGCATATTGCAGCGGTATAGGATGCTGTCTATGACGACGAACATTCGAAGCGAATAGTCTGTAGGGCCAGTATTCAGGCGGTCGATTAGATCTCGTAGGGACGCGTCGCGCCGTTGCTCACATTCCATGTTGCCGAAAGCGGAGAGCGTGGAAATACAAATGCACGCGTCGTCCGTTACAAGTCCATTAGGGTACTGGCCCGAGGTTCCGCCAACGAAGTACGGGCTGCAGTCAGATGTTTGCCAGATCCTCCCTCACAACCTGCTGGATCAACGAGATCGTTGGTCGATCATCAAATTGGTGTGTCAGTAAAGATGGTGGAGACGCTGCTTCGATTTCTCGACGCACGATGCGAACTATGCTCTCGTTGGTAGGTAGGTGGTTGACTGCGTGGCGACTAAAGGTCCTCGCATGATAAAGTGGAAGCCGTGTTCGGAAGTCGCAACAAATTCTTGGCGACTCGGCGGCTCTTCAAATTGGCGGTACTCTTTGATAATGTCATTAATGGTTGAACACTCTTTAGACACAAGTAAGTTCAAAGCATCATCCGCGTGCCTTTGAGCAAATGACTTACTTTGTCTTCCTCGGTCATGTTGGAGTCGACACGATGGCAAAAGGCCAGATCGTCAAGGATGTAGGTGACATAGGATTCGGTCATAGTTTGTGCCCGACAAGAGAGTTCTTTAGAAGCGACCCACTGGTGTCCGACGGCTTTACCAAATAGATCACGAAGCTTCTGTTTTCGAGCATCCCAGCTGGTTATGTCAGCTTCATGAGCCTCGAGCTACGCGCCTGCTGTTCTTTAGAGATAGAAACCAGCGTTGGTGAGCATAATCGTAAGGTCCCACCGGTAGACCGCTGCAAACTGCTCGAACTTCGAAGTCTAGTCGTCAGCGTCAACGTGGTCAGTGCCGCAGAAGTTGCCACAGTCGCGCGGTTGCGTCAATTCGACCGGCTGTACAGGCTGCTCCGGAGTCACGGCTGAAACAGGAGCGGCAGATTGGTTTCTGTTGACATGGTCGGGCAATCGAGAACATGTCAGCTGCGAAGTTCTGTCTCGCGTCGTACCCCACACCTCCACAAAAATGTTGCAAATGTATTTACTACTTTAGAGTAGAAAAATAGTCCGGCAGTCAAGATGACCGCCATTGTGTATTTTCGAACACCAAACACGTCGTCCTCTTCTTCGCAACACCCCGCATAGAGATAGCCGCAACTACACACACACTGTGGTTATAAGAGGGAAAACAAGAGAAAAGTGAGCCCCGTGTCTGCATCAGCGTGCGACACCTCGACAGTAGCTCACAAGGGATGGGGGTGAGAAGAGATTAAAAAGATAGGATTAAAGATATATTATATATATATATATATATATATATCTATATATATATATAGTATATATATATATATATATATATATATATATATTATATATATTATATATATATATATATAATATATATATATATATATATATATTGGTTACGGTTGAATTAAAGGATAGGTGGATTTATTTACAGGGTGAGGATGAAGTTCGGCAGTCGTGGTAAAGATGGAGTCCTAGGCCGCACCAGACAACGTCGTCTTCCTCTTCTACCTGCCCGGCACATACTACATACAGCCCGGCTCATACTGTAGCAATCCCCGGTTCACAGACGAAGTCCGCTGGGCGAGTTTATGTCACTGGAGGGATGACACTTCTTGAGGTGAGCCACGTGCACCAAGTGCGTTCGATTTGACCGACGAGAAGGTGTCGTCAAGCGTGCCACAACGTACGTCAAGTAAGTCAAGCGATCTACAATGACGTAGGGGCTTGTGTACTGCGGTAAAAACTTCTGACATAAACCAGGTTTTCGTTGGGGGGTCCACAACCACACGAATTCACCTTTGCGGAATGAAATGGCATCATGGCGTTGATCATATCGTTGCTTGGAGCGATCTTGTGATGCCAGTGTGCGCAAGCGAGCAATTTGGCGGGCTTCTTCAGCCCAGCACAATGTTTCGGCCACGGACTCATCGGTATGGAGCTTAAATGGGAGGATTGTATCAAGGGAGCTGCGTGGTGATCGAGCGTAGAGCAGGTAGAAGGGCGTGAAGTCCGTGGTCTCGTGCTTCGCTGTATTGTATGCATAAGTAATAAATGGTAAGATCTCATCTAAGTTTTTGTGATTGGACGCGACATACATTGCGAGCATGTTAGTAAGAGTTCGATTGGTCCATTCCACAAGACCATTCGTCTGGGGTTGGTATGGTGTCGAAGGTCTGAACTGTGAAGTGCACAGGCAAAGCAATTCGTCCACAGCGTCCGCGATGAATTGGCGACCACGGTCACTGATGATAACTTGAGGTGGACCATGGCGAAGAACAACGGAGCGTAACAAAAAGGCAGCAACGCCATCAGCTGTAGAAGATGGTATCGCAGCGGTTTCGACGTATCTGGTAAGGTGGTCGACGCACACTATTATCCAGCGGTTGTTGTTCGAAGATCGCGGAAACGGGCCCAATAGGTCGATTCCCACTTGCTCGAAAGGCGTAGTAGTAGTAGGCGGTTCTACGAAATGAAGAAGGCCGTGCGGTGCACTGGCAGGTCGTTTGTGGCGCTGGCGATTCTCGCAGCTCGAGACGTATTGTTTCGTAAAATCTCGCATTCTGGGCCAGGAAAAACGCTGCTGCACTCGATGCAGGGTGCGAATAACCCCAAGGTGTCCTGACGTTGGATCATCGCGCATAGTACGGAGAACGTCGCATCGAAAACTTTGAGGTCCAACCAATAAATAACGTGCGCCGGTTGCTGAATAATTAGTTTTGCACAACGGTCTATCACGAATGTGAAAGCGACCACTGCCTTTGAGATTCCGAGCGTCAACGAACAAAGGGTCTAAAGATAAATCCAATTGTTCTCGTTTGAAGATATTGGCGTCAGGAAACGTGTGAGAGACCGCAGCAAAACAGATATCAAGGGTATCTGCACTGTCCTCCATTGTGGTTATAGGTAGGCAAGAAAGGCAATCAGCGTCCGAATGACGTCGTCCACTTCTGTACGAAATGCTGAAGTCAAATTTTTGAAGGCGTAAAGCCCATCGAGCAAGGTGGCCAGGAGGGTCTGGGAGGGTAACAAGCCAACATAATGAATGATGGTCTGTCACAATCGTGAATGGACGACCGTAGAGGTAACATCGAAACTTCTGAATGGCGAATACAGCCGCTAAACATTCTTGCTCTTTCACCGTATAATTCATTTCAGCCTTGCTTAGAGATCGACTCGTATAAGCAACAACATGCTCTGCATTATCATGGCGCTGAACAAGCACACTTCCGATGCCAATTCCACTTGCGTCACTGTGCACTTCTGTGGGAGCAGAAGGATCAAAATGACGAAGAATAGGCTCAGATGTTAGGGGAAATTTCAGTTCAGAAAATGCGGCATCACAATCAGGTGTCCA